GGGCACAAGAGACAAGTCAGCCGATCACAAAAGGAGTATGCAAACCCGTGGCTGTGGGGAATCACGCCATATCCAGCTCATACACGTCCATACGCGCAGACGTCCTCATCGCTACATTATACATCATTTGGAAAGAAATGAGAAAGGAGAATTTTGGTAAGGCACGCAGAGTAGCATGTATCTGATACAAAAAGGTCATTCAGTGTACTTGGTAGTATAGACGAGCAAATAGGGAGTGCGGGGCTGTTCTGCAATGCTCGGTGGCACACCATTAACGCCACTCTCTGGAAGGATGTCTTCAAAACGACCAGTGTTTAGGTTGAAGGGTCTGTGGGTGCTGAGGAGGAAGTTTAAGCGTTCAGCTGGAAGGGAGAAGACACGTTCGTCGTCGAGGTAGTAGAAGGCCGGCAGAGGTTGTGCGGTCTCCGACTGTCCTTGTGGTTGCGCTTGCATAACCGAGGCAGTGTAGTGGCCCCGAGTAGCCTTGTAACCTACGTGGAAGACAATGGCGTGCAGGGTGTAGGCACCCTGACGTCGCGAGAAGGCACGTTCTTTCGTCACAACATCTAAAAGAAAAGAAAAAATGTGAAAACTTGCGCGCAGCTGCGTACTTATAGAAACATGTGCATCCGTGGAGTTAAATACATCCGATATGGAGGTCTACCCTGAGGGACACTCACACTAACGTCCAACGAATGAGCCTCGAAGTTCCGGGCACGAGGCAAGTGACTTCTGTCGACAATGACGTTCCTCTCCGGTATAAAAAGGGCCTCACAATGTGAATAGACCGCCAGCGCTGATACTTAAGACAATGATCTCGGTGCCCAAAGGGAAGCCTGAGTCCTAGGTTTTTAAGACGTGAGATGAACAGAGAAGGCAGAAGTTACACAAGAGAATCTGTGTCCGGTTTCCGCCAACAAAATTACCTTGTGATGGAAGTTCAGCCCGGAAATCAAGGTCTCAAACAAGGAAGATCGAATTGACGCACATTTGGGGTTGATGTTCGCTAAGAAACCTGACCTAGAGATTGTGATAAAGTGGTCACAAACTTGGACTTCAGTACTTGTCCCGGCAAAACTGCTGGACACCGCCCTATTCCACGGACAGCCCCACTGAAAGCTCCGAAAGACTATGGAATCAGGAATATCGGCTGGTCACAGCGCCGTCAACTTCAGTCAGTGCTCTAGGTCTGACCGATCATGTTCAAGCAGAATCTGTATCATTACGACAAACGGGGGGAGCCCGATCATGTCTTTAGAACTTGTTGATGGAGTGCCTGTTCAATTAACACACGAACACGCTTTCGTCTGTCATAATTGACGGTGTTCAGTAAAGTGGAGAGGGAGACACGATCGTTGGGACAAGAGCTTTATTCGCCTGACGTTTCGGATTCCTGCTCTAACCCATCATCAGAGACAATGGCGGGTACGGGTTCAGTAAAGCCATCTCGTCAAGTTTAGTTCATCGGCAATTGTGTTTGTTTGGACAGTACCTCGGAAGGGCACTCGTCCGATGTCTGCACCGGCTCTAGTGCCGTTAAGACACTGCTGTGCGAGCAGGTTCACATTAAAATCTGAGCTTACCAGACCCTATCCGAATACTTCACTTTTAGGCGTCTCCGAAGACAGCTTATGGGTGACTTAATGAGCTCACCGACGGGTTCTTCTGTCGTGTAGCAGTAAATTAAGAACGACTTCGAACGTCTTCAGCTGCGATTGGAAATTACATAACGACGATCGCAACTTCAAATGGTTCTTCAAGTTTAAGACCTTCAAACATTGTTCCCATTACTTATCGGAATGCCGCCAGACACCACATTCCCCAATTAAATAAAATTATCCACCGCTGTTGACAAGGAGCATTCACAATCAGGGTTGGCCCCGTATACAGCGGTTAACCATAGGGGTTAAAACATCGATCCTGTCTCAGCTCAGGGCTGGCACACCCTAAATCACAGTGTTCGCAACCCCGTTTCATTTGTTACAATCAAAGATGATCGCCTTCGGTTTTGCAGTCGCAGATATTTGTCCAACCACGGTAAAGCTCTTGACCTAGTGGATAGCTCCCACTATCTTGGGTCGAAACTTCCGTCAAATGGGAAAGATGAGGATATAATCAATCGGATATCAGATCAATCAGAAGTGCGCTTCGTGCGACGAGCTCGTCGAAATCGCCTGAATTGGCGCGTGGTTAGACTGAAGACCGGGTTGTCAGTCAAGGAGGCCACCTTCTGTACACTGCATCGACCATCGACAAAAAATCAACGAAACAACCCCGTGTGCTACCGTAACAGACAATCACTCGGACAAAGAAACGCCTTCCAGAAACCGGCATGGCCGGCATGCACACTCGTTCGACGTCCGCGGCTGCAGTGAAGAATATAACGGGTGGGGCTGCCGGCCTGTTACCGATCGCCTCGTCCATCACAAACAGACGAGTGGACCTGTCCCATTTTCCGGTCTTCCAACCGAACTACCAACATGTACAGAAATGCTTCACTCTAAAAACCATGAGGACAAGACTCAGATGCTCATCTTACTTCCAGCATTTACAGTAACTGGCCTGTATCGTGAAATGTTAACCGAAATTCTGAAACGTGTTTTCGCGTAGAAAGGGTTACTTAGGTGGAATTGTAATATTCGACATCGTGAAGCACAAAAACAAGATATTTCGGTCACGACTGGATTCCGGCTATCGAATAAACTTTTTTGCGGCCACTTGCAAAAAACCGCCCTTAAGCGATATGCACTTTTTCCATTGATTTTCAATGTCATTATACACGCAAATACACATTATTAAAAACAAACGCAGAAATATTCTCTTTGTGCTTATTTGGGGCAAATTGCGTCTTCCTCAAATCTAATGCCCAACGAAGGGCTATCTTTCGGTTATGGAAGTCTGTAATTATGAGATTTTCAAGACTGTGAAATTCTCATTCACACAACGTCGTATCCGTACGTTTAGTAATGCTATTCATGAAGCATACAGTATGGCCTACATTCATTGCAAAATTGCATGGATCCCTTTTCTTAATAGCGCAAGGGAATGTATGATTTTCCGTACACGGAAAG